AAATATTACAATTTTTATATTATTAACATCATTATACATGGTTGGTATGTCGAATCATGTTGGAACATAAGAAGCGCGACTATGTCCAATTAAAACGAATCTTAGAGAAACAAATAGAGAAACAAAATTCATAATAATAATAATAAATTTATTACTTATATAGCAATATTTACAACAATTGATCAAAAGCGCTTCAAGAAGTCAAGAATAGATACAATATTTACATTATTGATTATTTACATTGTTACTGATGAATTTATTAAATATTGACATTCTTAAAATTCAATGTCCGTATTTTATAAAAAGTCAGTGAAAATGTTCCTAAAAAGATGAGTTTTAATTGATTTCTTGAAGAAGTCAATAGATGTAAGTGAACGTATACCAAGTGAAAGACTATTCCAAAGATGAGGTGCAGCCGCGTGAAAGGATCGGGCACCCAAGGAAGTAAGCATCATGCCTGCTGGAGGTTCCAGTAGAGTGCCATTGTTAGATCTTAAGTTGAAGGACGTCTTCGATTTAACATTAATGAGATACTTAATATAATATAGTACTAGATCATGTATAGCTTTAAAAGCAAATAGTGACACCTTGAATTGTATTCTTGCATGTACCGGAAGCCAGTGTAGTTAATACAGTACGGGCGTAATATGAGAATATTTCGGAACGTCCATTGCTAAGCTGGCAGCGGCATTCTGAACACGCTGTAGTTCAGATATTTGCTTTCCAGGGAGACCGTAGAATATAAGCTGTTACAGTAGTCGAGCCTGCTGGTGATGAAAGCATATACTAGGATTAGTAAGTTGTCTCTTGATAGATATTTCTTAATTCGTCCGATATTATGCAGGTGGAAAAAGCAGGCTGTAATACTTTTGTGATACGAGTCGTCATGTTTAAGTTCGAGTCCAACCAGCTGCCGAGGTTCTTAATATGCGGGCTAGGAGAAATCACAGAATTATTAACTGAAATGCTGATAGGCTAAAGTATACATAATTGCTGACGAGTGCAAATGGCCAAGAATTCAGTTTTGCCATCGTTCATCAGGAGTTTATCCTGAATCATCCAGCGTCTTATCTTTTCGATACAAGACTCCATCGCACATAAAGCGTCTTCCTGTGACGTACTTAAACTTGGCTTAAAACTGAGGTTAGAGTTGTGTGTCGTCGGCATAACCATGTGAGTCAGGAAGCTGATCTTCAATATTATTTTAACAGCTTGGATGAATATATAATAAAACGAAGGGGACCCAAGCACGACCCTTGTGGAACTCCTAAGTCCAAATCGAAATATTGGGATAGTGCACCTTCGATAGAACTTTACTGACCTCTGTTGTGCAGGTAAGATTTGAACCAATTCAAGACTTTTTCGTGAATGCCAAACTCATTTCGGAGAAATATTTCGTGATTGACAGCAGGGGCGTACATTTAATACATTTTAAGGGGGTTTGGACGGATACGGGACCGACTTTTGATTCCGGAAAGATCCGGAATCGACTGTTGTTTATAAATCATAACGAAGAATGATACAGTGTACCTAAAGTCTAGGACCTGCATATGAATTTGTATGCATTTCATTTAGAACAGATAATCTCAACTGTTTTAGGGCATGTTGACCATGACGGTCGACATGGTAACGATGCCCGAGCCCCAATCCGGGGCGAAACGTCCGAAACTGACCACACCCAAAAACGACGCTCTCGCCATAGTGCTATCTACCAAACCATAAAAACTTTGGCTATTCTGAGGAGCTTATGTGGTTCAGAGATGGTGCTTTTAGGGGTAGTCATTGGTAAGTGTGAAATGCCTAGCACTGATATTTCGCAAGAAAATGACCATGCAATACTCATAGTCAAACGTCACTTTGTGACTTACAAATTCAGATAAACAGCATTACCATTACCTTTTTTCCTAAATCTTTTTTATAGAAACATAATTGGTACTTATTTAAGTATATTGTCACTGCTTTGCTGTAAAATTGTTAATACTTTGTGACCGAAATAATAATATGAAATGTACCTACCTCCTGCAAATGGACGTATTTGGCCAAATTCTCCACTTTACTCCGCTGTTTATCGCCAATATCGTTGCAATCCTTCCAAATATCTACGGCAGCTCAGACAGAATGGTATCAAGCACATTTTAAACAAGTTTTAAATAGGTTTCAAGCAGATCCTAGCTGTTTAATAACCATCGACAAGGTAAAACCACAACTTTATCCAATTCGGCGCCATTTTGTCATCCCATGTCGGTTGTAAACATTTCGCCTTGTTATTCTTCCATCCAAGCCATTTTCATTCCAATAATAATAAACGGAACCCTTTGTTAAGGTTAAAAGATAAAGAGCAAAGCCCAGCAAATAACTTTAAAACCAAACATAATTAAAGGAAAAATTTAATTAGCTAACGTTTCGTTGTTTACAATACAACATCTTCAGAGCAATCTAAATGAAGTTCAGGGTGTGGTATATATATTTACAAAATAATGGTTTAATATTACAAAAACGGTTACATAATTTGAAAGAACAAATTAATAGAAAGAAAGGAAAACAACTTATCAGTAACTAGTTAATAAGTAAAGATTAATGTTAAGTGCATGATTAGTATAGTTAAGATTAATATTACATAACTAAAATAACTCAAGAGTGGTAGATCTAATATTAGCAAGGACAGGGTTAAGTTGAGAAATTAATAGGCTTTCACGGATAAGAAGATCCCACTCAGAAGTACCTGATAATAGAATTTTGAAATCAGAAGCGGAGACTGGGTGTTTGTGCATGTGTTTGTGAGCGAGTATACTAGACATGGTTGAGATACAGCGTTCTCTTCCAGTCAAAGGCGAGATTCCCATATGCTCTGAGATACGTGTGTGAATGTGTCGGCGTGTTTGGCAACATACATGATAAGTATGATTTGTTAAGGGTATCAAAATATGTAAACAAAATATAAAAAATCCAGCATTTTATCACCCTGTAAAATCTTGCTTACGAGTCTTTCAAAATATTCCGTACAATTCTCGCGTGGCAAAGCAACAAGGCCGTGACAGGGGGTGATTTTTTTCACGAAGATAGAAGAAGGCTGCCGCGTGAAATGGACTAAAAACTAAATACAATCTTACAAACGTTTGTTTTATTTCTTGTAGCGACCATATAAATATGTCATACTATAAATTAAATGTTGATTGTTGGTCTTACAACACTGCTATTACTGCGTGCTTTTGCTTTGCTTTAATCTTCAAAGTCTCACCCCTCATGTTGCTTTGCCACGCGAGATTTGCACGGAATGTTTTGAAAGACACGTAAACAAGATTTTACAGGGTGATAAAATGCTGCATTTTTTCTATTTTGTTTACATATTTATTTTGATACCCTTAACAAAGGGTTCAGTTTATTATTATTGGAATGAAAATGGCTTGGATGGAAGAATAACAAGGGCGAAATGTTTACAACCGACATGGGATGACAAAATAGCGCCGAATTGGACAAAGTTGTGATTTTGCCTTGTCGATGGTTAAACAGCTAGGATCTGCTTGAAACCTATTTAAATGTGCTTGATACCAGTCTGTCTAAGCTGCTGTAGATATTTGGAAGGATTTCAACGATATTGGCGATAAACAGCGGAGTAAAGTGGAGAATTTGGCCAAATACGTCCATTTGCTGGAGGTAGGTACATTTCAAATTATTATTTCGGTCACAAAGTATTAACTATTTTACAGCAAAGCAGTGACAATATACTTAAATAAGTACCAATTATGTTTCTATAAAAAATATTTAGGAAAAAAGGTAATGTAGGTCCACTGCTGTTTATCTGAACTTGTAAGTCACAAATTGGCGTTTGACTATGAGTATTGCATGGTCATTTTCTTGTGAAATATCAGTGCTAGGTATTTCACACTTACCAATGACCATCCCCTAAAACACCATCTCTGAACCATATAAGCACCTCAGAATAGCCAAAGCTTTTGTGGTTTGGTAGATAGCACTATGGCGGGAGCGTCGTTTTTGGGTGTGGTCAGTTTCGGACGTTTCGTCCCGGAATGGGATTCGGGCAGCGTTACCATGTCGACCGTCATGGTCAACTTGCCCTAAAACAATTGAGATTCTCTGTCCTAAATGAAATGCATACAAACTCATATACAGGTCTTAGACTACTGGCTGGCTGGCTACAATGAAAAGACTTTCAAAATTGTTTATTGGAGACATATATTTAAAACATTTGAAATGGCAATTAGACAGACACAACAGACAATTTGAAAGTCATTTGAACAAATGTGAGATATAACTTTATACGATTAACAATTCGGAAATCTTTGATCAAGCAGTTCCAAAGGCAATTAATGTTCCATCAAGAGTTATTATAAATGCTATTATTATTATTTAACAATTATTCGCCGAAGGCGAGGTGATTATCGGTGAATAAAAACCGAGACGAAGTCGACGTTTGTATTCACGATAATCACCGAGCCTGAGGTGAATAAGTGATTATTTGGAAAAAATTTAAAAATGCGCATTTTTTCCTCTTAGCTTTTAATTGACAAAACGGCTTCGGCCGCCATTTTGAAAATCGCTTAGGTAATTATCGCGTAATAATCACCTCAACGGTAACTAATCAGCGTGGAGAATTTTCAATAATCACCTATGTAATTATACTAATACTACTTAGTTATTACTGTATTTACAAGGCCGGTGGTTTTGAAGATCTGTCATGTAGTTCTACACTTTACACTAATAATACACCGAGTCTTGGGGAGTTTTGCCCAGCGATCAACTATTACACTCAGGTCACTTGAATCAGTTAAATCTTTTTCTGACCCTAAAGTCATGAAATCTTTAAGCCTGCCCTGATTCATCACTGAGCGCATAACTGTCTTGACCAATTTCAGCTTAGAGAAGCTTCGCTCACTCGACGCCGATGTAATAGGTGCAGTAAAAATCTGTTTGTTAAAGAAAATATGCATTCAAATTAGACATACTGCCTCTGCGATTGTTTCAGTTTCCAGCTTGTTCTCTCAAAAATGATTTCTAAACAACGTTAGTTCAGCGCATAAAACGTCGTTGTCAGGTTGTAGTGAACGTGGAAGCATCTTTACGAGAGAGTCAACATCTTCTTCTTTGGTATCATTGTCAAATGGAGGAAGAAGAAGGTTAATTGCCCGGGCAAGAATATCACATGTCTTCAACATTGTCGGTAAGGACTTGTGTTTGTACATCGAGGACTGTGATGAATTATTTTCTGTAGAAATCCTCATGGGTAAGATTTTTTGCCGTTTCTGGTCTTTCGTCCACGTGCACTCTTCTTGCTGTGCGCCTGTGACGATGATGTCACTGACATTCGATATTATCATCTACTCCTTGGCGTTCAGAAGATTCACAGCAGCAGTAATCAGCCGATTGTTCACGTTTTGTTCATCATCACGTAAGTAGCGCAGAGTAGAAATGGTTGGTTTAGCAGATTCTAGAGATTTTTTAGTTTGGATATAGATATAAGTTCTAGTAATAATTTTATGCCACAATAGTCCATAAATGTTAGTCAATTGGTGTAGTATGAAATATTATAATATGGTCTCGTGTTGTTCACAATGTATACCTGTGAAAATTATGTTGTATTTTATGAAACTAAGGAAAAAAGATAAAAAACGACTTGTATTTGTATAAATGTGAACCTAAGAAATATAAGTGCACAGTAGGTAATAGATCCTGTGGTGTAAAAAAATTGATCGACCCAAACGATATATGATCGCGCTGTACTAAAAAGCTTGTATGGAGACATGTAAAATATATAAAGCCAGAAAAGGAGATAGTCATGTGTGTAAAAATTCAGTTTCTTTTCAAAAATAGTAACGCCATGCACCAACATGGTGCACCTCCCGACCGTCTCCGTAGGCAGTTGCTACTTGCTAATGCGGAATAGCGCATTTTAAGTAATGTAACGCGATACATTAAAAGTTGCTAAGGTCGAATTTTATGTAATCCAATACACATGACATTCAGGAAATGTATTTGTATTTCCTTTCGGCCATATATTGTCCCTTGTTCATAACATCTTATCAACAGCTCATGTGTTGTCGGTCCCAATTCACTGACAGAAATAAATATTAATTCTTGTACCCGAATCTTGGGACCGAGTTTTCGCACAGTATCAAGGAAGAATGGGAACGACTTTTGGTGACATTCGGATGCTAAAGGGGGTTCGCCCCCCACCCAACCCCCACCAAATGTGCGCACCTGATTGACAGTGTCAAACGCGGAACTTAGATCAAGTGTAACTAGTAAAGTAACTTCTTGCGTGTTCATTTTTAGCAGGATGTTGTTTGTAACTTTGAGCAGTGCGGTTTCAGTGCCGTGATGTCGACGATAAGATGATTGTAGCTCAGGATATAATGAGTGCGCCATCATGTGCGAATGGGTCTGACTAAATAAAACTTTCTCAGTTAACTTGGAGATGTACTGTAGGTGGCTTATAGGTCTACAATTCACGAAAAGTGGATCTACTCCGACAGTTTTCAAGAGCGGGTGCACAAGAGCGCATTTCCAGACGTCAGCGAACGTCCCTGAGTCCAATGACAGATTAATTATCTTGGTGATAGTCGGTAATAACACATCGTTTAGGTCGATCACCAGTGACGTTGGCATGGGGTCGACAGCAGAGTTCTTTTTACCGCACTCTTTAATTAATAACCGTTCGAACATCTTCTTCGGTGAGTGTGTTAAAGTTGCTTAGATGAGCAGTTGTTTCAGATGTGTTATAAACTTCAAACTAGGATAAATCGTGACCCATATTTTCAAGATTAGTGTCAATATTATTAATTTTTTCAACGAAGTAAGTACCCATTTGGTTAGCGAATTGAAGTTTATCAACAGAAGGAGGGAATGAAACTCTTTTGTCACCATGATTAAGTAATTTCTTCGCGGCTGCGAATAATTTATGTTGATTAGAGTTATTTGCCTCAATGAAGTTCTTGTAAAATTGCCGACAAGCTTCGTTCATTAGCTTGCTCGTATTATTCTTCGTAATTTTATAGTTCTTCATGTCTTTAGTGTGGTCAGTACGGCGCCATTTTCGCTCGGCTTTTCTCTTTTCTCGCATTTCAATTTTAATATCATCATTGAACCAGGGAACTATAATGGTCTGGATTTGACGACCTTCGTACATAGGGGT